GTCAGCTCCCTCACAGCCTGGGCCTGTCCTGTCTCTGCGCACGTGGGCGCTCTCTCCAGCAGTGGGCTGGCCGCACACTCTCAGCAGCCTGGCACAGTGAACTGCCCCAGCTGGTTGACCTGTGTCTATCACCAATCCTAGAACTGAGGATCCAGCAGAGTCCCCTCCATCCATCCCACAGGCACAGGCGGTGGAGGCAGACTCCAGACTGGGCTGTCTCCTGCATTTAACTGCATCAAGCAGAGTTAAGGCAGCAGTGTAGTTTGTGATCATTTAGTCAATGACAGCAGGGAGTTTTCTCAATAGATGGCATATTCAAGCTAACTTGATATTAGACTTTGATTTAAAAACAGGAACAATGCCACAACTGATTTTCATTCAACCCGAATTAAAAACAGTTTAAGGGAGGTGGCACATCTGTGAGCGAGCCACAGAACTTCTCAGGTGTTGGGACTTCTGCCACCACACTTGGAAGCCTTAAGATGACCAGACCAGATGATGTATCCAGGCAAAGAGCAAAGGCCAAGGGCACCACGGGCTCCAGGAGCTCCTGGGAGGACTGGGGTGGGAGCGCCGTCCTCAGCGTCCTTTTAGTTCTGCTGTGTAACTGGGCTTCCCGGTGAGTCTCCACTCAAAACACACTGAGACGCCATGGGCCGGGTGCAGAGAGCAGCGCCCCACCTGGCTTCATGACCACGGCTGCCCTTGGCTGGTAACACTGACATTTTAACCCAGGAACTGACTCATCTGTTTCCAGAGTTCTAAGGGTTGCCTCATTTTCACCAAGAAAATACAAACTGGGCCAAAGGTTAAGGCTAGAATTGAAGTCTCTTTACCAAAACAGCTGGGCGTGGAAGGGGCCAGGAGAACGAACGGGGCTCAAGATGAGCTAAAACAAAAGGGAGGAATTTTAGCCCAGAGGTTTTGAAATAAAGATGAGTTTGTAAAGAGCCCAACTTCTTAGATCTTTTCACCCTTATTCCTGGCACCGCCCTCTCAGGGCTATTTTTAGCCCCAGGAGAATGGGGCAGAGATAGGGAAGGTCTCCTTGCAGCCCTCTTACCTTGCCCTGCAGGGAACTCTAGGGCGCACAATGGTAAAATTCTACCTAGCAAGATGGGGAGCCCTGCCACTTTGCTGCTGAAAAGAGGGTTCCTCGGGAACACCTGGAGAGCAGCACAGCAGACTGCATATTCCATTTAGAACAAAGAAAACTGGACTGCCTATCTATTTACCTTGGTCCCCTTCACAGGGCTCAAACTAGATTTTACCAACAAAGCGATCTAACTCGGCTTTATACCTTTACTTTGGAGTAAAGACATTTCACTTTATGAGACTCCCTCTGGCCATCTCGTCCCTGTTCATGAAACCCTTGCTTCTCATAAACTAACTCTGTACAGTATTTCCCTCTCACAACAGGTCACCAGGTGTCGATGTAAACCTTTTAAATCATGGCAACTTGCCTGATCAGGGTTAGCTTTAGTCAGTCTTGCAGGTTAATGATATCTTTGGAAACAAGGCTGAATATGCCAAGAACCTGATGATGAACTACATGCTCTGTGTGCCTCTCCGAACCTACCACCAACAGCACTTCCAGGGCGTGCTACAGGCAGGCATAGCACAGAGGCAGAAGATGCTACCATTTCGAGAAAACAGTCAAGACCCCAGGACGACATGGCGTTGACAGCCCTGGGAATGCTACCTAAGGGATCAATAAGCTGCCTAGGAACAAAGAATTTAAGGGACTCCTGTGTTCCGTCAAAGCAGAAAACCAAAACAAGCTCTGATTCCTACAGAATGCACTGTAGACTACTTGGAACTGCCTTCTCCCGCCACTGGACTCCGTAACGGAAGTGGGGTTGTTGGTCTAAGACCTCATCCGTTGACGAGCCACAATTCGCTTTGCGCAGAAGCAGACACATGGCTTTCTTCACTCCTGTAGAAAGCACTCACACCAAAACCATTACGAGTTGAATACGGTTAGGAAAATGCTGACCTACCACATGCATGGTGTCTTGGTTTTCGGTCCTCACCCTGCACCAAGCTGGGTTCTTACCAGGAGGGCCTCAGGCATGCATGCACACCCAGGGGCCCAGTGGTTCCTGAATGGGACAAGAACATAGGCTGCAGGCAGGGGGTGTACACACAGCACCCAAAGGTCACCCACAGCCTGAGTGCCTGACAGGACCTGCCTCCCCGCCCAGTTTTCATTAAAAAGAAAACTACAGGAAAGGTCATTAAAAGATAACCAATTGGCTGGAGGAGAGACTTACTACAGAGTTAATTGTTAAACCAGAGCCAGTCTTTCTATCACAGATCCCCGTAGGATGGAAGAGCCAGGCTGCTGTCCAAAACGTGTCCCACCAGCTGTCAAGCACGGGAAATGGGGCTATGGTGACTGAAAAACTGCTTTTTCCCTTCTACTTGATTTTAACATTGAACAGCCACACATGGATCACAGACACAGCATCTTCCAGGTAAGAACAATGCTCGGAGGAGCTTAACGGTGCTTCCTTTCCCCTAGGAATTTAACAACAGGTCTCATAAACGCTCCTCCTTAACTGCTTTAGTAATTAAAAGGCACCTTTGAATCACAGCCTACCTCTTTTCAATGTGGACCTCCTTACAGGTGATTACAAACGTAAAATGTGGAAGTAGTAAAACTATTTTTCTCTCACTTTGAACAAGTAAAATTCTGGAGATAAAATACTTTTCTGATGTTTTAGAATTTCTTCCAAAGTTGAAATATAAACTGTAAGCCAAGTGCTTAGAACAGAAACTATGCTGCTAAAGGTTTCTGACCTGTCCTGCTTGGTGCTCCCTTTTCACAAGCCATAGTGACACCTTTGACATGATTATGCCTTGAGATCCAGTAAGCAAAATCCCTGAGTGCCCAGACTAAAGACCCATTCCTCGGCAACTGCGCAGTGATGGGGGCAAGAGCTGAGCTGCTCACCACACGCTCAGGAAGCTTTAGCCTGGCTTCAGATACTCGCCGCCGCCACCAGCCTCCCCATAAACACTGGGTGTAAGCAAATGCTTTCAGCCTTATGTATTGCACACTATAGCTTTAAATGGCAGCACGGGCTAAGGACACGTCATCTGGGGACACTGGCTCCCTGGACATCACACACCCAGGCGACGACAGAAACAAACGACACTGAGTATCCACTGGTGCTCTTTCCGAGGTTCCCAGGGACTGTGTTTGGTACCCTTGAACCTGTCTAAATCACATAACAGGAGACTGCTTTAAGGATGGAGGGTTTTCAAATCCCGAGGAGTAAGAGACAATTCTAGTTCTGGGATTAAAAACTAAAAAACCAAACAGATGGTTTAACAGTAAACAGCAGGGTACTTGACAAAAGCTGTGTGATGCCAACCTGGTGCAGGAATCCCTACCTCCAGCTGCAGATCTCTTGCTTCTGCCCAGCTTCAACTATTTGCATAAAGTCACAGGAATGTGTAAGAAGTGGGCCAGCGAGAGCCCAGCATAATGTAATACAATGGAACTTAAGTGTTAAGATTCTGCATTAAATAGCTCAAAAAGTCAGTTCCACCAGCATCAGCCAAAAAGCCAAGGATTCACAACAATTTATGCAAAAAAAAAAAAAAAAGGGAAAAGAAACACCCAGATGCAGGTTCAATAAATGCCAACAGCAAAAAGTTAATTCAAAAAGCTAATTGTTCAAACAGCTAATTCAATTTTGGACTGCATTAACCAATTACAAACTGCATGAAATTTCTATTGGCTACTAAAATTGCTAAGGCAGATACCCAGCTTGTTGTATTTTAGCAGCAACCACAGACTTAGGGCAAAGCATCTGAATTCCCCTGCCCCCTCCCACAGTGACAGTCAGAGGGCCGGTCGCAGACTTGGAACCGGAGGAGAGGAGAAACAGAGGAAGGAAGCAGAAGCAAGACTGTTTCCAGAAGTCTGACGGCCTCACATGCGGAGGAACACACAGAAAAGACACGTGCGAGGGTCAGGGCTGCTCACCAAGCACCCGGCCCACCTGGAAGGGCGCCTCAGCACCAAAGGGCAGACCTGTGTGGCCCGGCTTCCCGTGCAAGCCGGGCTAGACGGCTGCCTCTTCCCACCCTCCCCAGGCCTCTCAAACTCCAGCAGCTCCCCATCCCCTCTCAATCAAGCCATCAAGTCAGAGTGCAGTCAGGACAGGCATTACGGCTATCATTTACTCTATTAAAAATAATAATAATCTGCAAATGCCGGCGCTTATTTAACTAAAGTGGGGCACGCTGACAACTAACAGTAACGAGACAAACCCTGGGATGCCAGCAGCACTGCTCGCTCCCAGACACAATACTCCATGTGTTCTCCGTAGAATGCCCACGCTATTTTCATCGTGTTCTTAATTTCAGCTGGCTAACAGACTGCCGACTCAAAGCGACCAAGCTTCTCCTGAAATCAGCGTGAGCCCCTTATTCCTTCGACCAGGTTTGCAAACAAGAAGTCTACACAAGAAGTCCCGTAAGCTGTCCCAGAGCAGAGAGGCCATCCCAGTTCCTCTGGGGCAGCAGGCCCTGCCTGAGCTGGGTGCAGGGGGAGAGTCCGATTTACTTACCTCGCAGGCACCCTTTCTTCCCACTCCTCCCTGGCCCTCTGATACCCACAGCTGAGTGACACCGCGGGGTTCAAACGCATGCCTAACAAGGCCTGGGTTTCCTGTTCCTTCTACCCTAGCCTCAAGACTGCAGCTCCTTATCCAAGGATCCGAACTCTACAATGACAGCACTGTCGTAAAAACACTAGGACTCTCCTGGGGCAAGTGCCCGCTCCCGGCCTGGAGGATGCCGGAAGGAAACAGCTACCTGTCGCACACTCCAGGGAAAAGTCCCTAGCCATCCTCGTCCCTGCTCCGCCCCCCCTCCCACACCTGCACAATGGGCCTGAAACCCACCTTGGTGCCCTGTCCACGTCACCCCTCGCGGCCTGAACCCCCGCACTCCGCGTCATCCGCTCTCCAGGCGCCAGCCTTTACCTTTCTGAACGTGGATGATGTCCGGGAAGTTGGCCAGGTGCCCCTGATAGAGCGCTAACAGGTCCATGACGGGGTCCAGGTCCTGCCTGGGCTGCTCGGCGAAGAGTTCGCCGATGGCGTCGTAGGCATCTCCGGTGAAGGCGATGGCCTGGTTGAGGCCCGCCGAGAAGGCCTGCTGGTCCAGCTCGAAGGCCTGGCTGAGGCCGCGGAAGGACTGGCCCACCTTCTGGTACTCCTTCTTGAAGCCCGTCACCTGCTTGCGCGCGAACTCGTTGGCCGTGTGGTTGAGCTGCAGCGCGCTGTCGTCCATCTTCTTGGTGAAGCACTTGAAGCCGTCGATCTTGCTCTCCACCTCCTGCAGGTCCAGCGCGGCGGCGGGCGGCGTGCTCAGCGTCAGGAAGAAGTTGGCGCCCACCATCTCGTCCTTCTCCGCCTTCCGCTTGCCCTGCTTCCAGGCCTTCTCGTCCGTGCTGCTCGGGCACGTCAGGAAGTGCTGGAAGACGTCGCACTGCGCCAGCACCGGGTGGCTGGCCATGTGGTTCATCCACCAGATCAGGCCCTTCCTGCGCTTGGAGATGAAGTCCTCCTCGAAGCGGCCCGTGGCCTGCTTCTCGGGCAGGTGCGGCACCGAGATGACCGGGAACTTCTCGGCCAGGCGAGCATACAGCCAGTCGAAGTGCTTGTAGCGCCGGTGCACCGGCACCTGCGTGTGCGTGGGCACCAGCTTGTAGGAGATGTAGCTCTTCATGCCCTTGAACTTGGTCTGCTTGGTGGGGTCGTCGATGGTACACTGGAACGGGTAGGGGTTCTCCTGCCACTCGGGGCCGTAGGGCCCCAGCACCACGCACAGCTTGTCGCCGTCTTTCACGAAGCCCGACGCCTCACCCAGCACGAAGGCCTCCCCGCCCGACTTGACGAAGGTGGAGAAGCGGTTGAGGTTGCGGCTCACCGTGGCCGAGCTCTTGGCCCCGGACGCGTGGTGCTGGGCGGGCGCCGGGCCCCCGCGCGCGCCCAGCGAGAGGTCGGAGCGCGTGGACAGGCGGTAGCGGCCCGCCGCGCCGCCGCCCGCCGACGACGAGCCGTCGAGGTCCGGGTAGGCGCCGCTGCCCAGCGCGCCCGGCTCGTCGGCCACCGTGGAGCTGTCGTCCCACTCGTCGTCCCAGTCGTCGTCGCTGCCCTGGCTGGCCTGGTAGCCGCCGCCGTACAGCGGCTGCTGGGGCGACGGCTGCAGGGCGCCCCCGCCGTACGGGAAGCCCGCGCCCGGCGGCTGGAAGGTGCTCGGCGGCGGCGCCTGCTGCGGCTGCAGCAGCGGCTGGAAGGCGTCGGCCGGCGGCTTGAAGGAGGCGGGCGGCGCGGCGGGCAGGGGCTCGAAGCCGCCCGGCGGGACGTTGGCGTAGCGGGCCGGGGCGCCCGGGCCGCCGTCGCCCGCCGGGCCGGGCTCGGGGGCGCGGATCACCTGCACGTATGAGGCCGGGAAGAGACCCCGGTCGCCGCGGCTGTTGACCCCCTCGAGCCAGCCCTCGATGTCCTGTTCGCTGCACAGGCTCAGCACCTCGTGCTCCCTCAGCGAGATCTCGCCCGGGTTCTCCGACCGAAAGTCATACAGCGCCCGGGCGCGCAGCGCCATGGTCCCGGCGCCCCGGGCGGGCGGTCGCGAGACCGGCGCCCTCTCGCCCTGGCCCGTCCGACGGGGCCCCGCGGTGCCGCCCGCGCCCGCGCCCTAGCCCCCTCGCGCGCGGACTGGAGCTCGGAAGGCAGCGCGCACCCCGCCGCCACGGCCAGCCGGTCGCGCCCTCCGCGCCGCTCGCAGTCCCGACTGCCGCTCTGGGCCGCCGCCGGCCGGGGGCGGGGCCCGCGGCCTCCCACGTCCCCAGCTGCGCTAATCCACGGCCGAGAGCCGCGTGCCAGGCGAGAGCAAGCGATGGCCGAGCCGCCGCGCGCTCCTTCCGGGTCCCAGATCCGCGGCGGCCACTACCCCCTGGTGGCTGCTGCTGCGAAGTGGCGCGCCGGGGTGGCAGCCCCGCCTCAGGAGGAGGTTTCTAATTGGGGTGAATTAGCGGAGACTTTTTTTTTTTTTAAAGGCTTTTAAGCTAAAAACGTTTCCTAGAAAGTACGCTTCATAAACCTTCCCTCTGTGAGCACTGAGGGAATGCTGCTGGAACAGCGCGAGCCACGCGTATAAAGAAGAATTTTGCAACGAATATCCGCGACTGCTGCAAGGAGAAAGGTGGCCTGGGCTGAGGGCTCTTGACGCTCCCTGACCTCTTCTGCTCGCTGGAGCTTGTTGGCCAAGAAGGCAGGAGATTGACAAGAGCCGGAGGGAGGAGCTAGAATGTGCAAAAAAGTAAGTGCACGGGAAGCTGGCATTTTGTATGTGTCCCTGTGCCCTCCTAGGATGAGTGTCCTGCAGGGAATGAGAGCTTAGCCTTCAGGTGGGGCTGCAGGGTTCCAGTACCTGTTCTGACGCTAGTTAGTGACCTTGAGCAAGTCGTTTATTTTGTACCTACCTCCCAGGGTCCTTGTGAGAATCCCCTAGTAATGTAATATATATATATATGTATTACATATGTATATATTACATGAATATATATATTCACACACATATACATATATGTAAATTGTTATGGGGCTGGATGTCTTTTGTTGGGTTTTTGTTTTTATTTTATATGAAAGGCACAGAGACTTAGCTGTTGCATCCACTGGTTCACTTCTCAAATGTCCTCAACAGCCAGGGCTGGGACAGGCTGAAGAAGCTGGCAGCCTGGAACTTTATCCAGGTTTCCCTTGTGGGTGGCAGAAACCCAAGTACTTGAACTGCCTCCCAGAGGGAGCATTGCAGGAATGCTGGGGCCAAAGCAGTGTAGTGGGGACTTGAACCAGACAGTACGATACAGGACACAAATGTCCCAAGTGGTGACTTAACCACTGCACCAGTGCCCTAGCGATGAGGACATGAACCAGTATACGGCACACACCGGGCGTGGTGAGTGCAGCTCAAGGGTTTGCTCCTGCTCTTGCTGCTGTCGTTGTTATTTGGGAAAACAAAAATCCCCGACTTCTTTCCTAGAGAGAAGGCGGCTGACAGAGTTGCAATTGCAGGGAGAATGAATTGGAAAGGGTCCCATGGGTCACACCCCCACTCCTAGCCTGAGGCCAGGGTCCATCCGTCTCCAGTCATCTCTAAGTCTCCATATCTTCACATGATTTTTAAGATAGGCAGATCAAAAATCACTTCCTGAAATATTAATCAGCCCCAGCTCCTGTAGTTGCCTTGTTCCCTATCCTCCTCTCCTTTAGTGTATAATTTGCCCAAAGCCTTTTCTTCTCATAATCCCCTCTTAGGAAATCTAGCCTAATTATTCCTTTGAAGACACCTCTAATTGGGGTTCTGCATTCATATATCATTAATTTCAGCCTGTCCTCTGACCCTTTTCAAGCAAATCTGGGAAACAGGCCAGAAGAGAATAGCATGATTAAAAAGGTTTAGGGTATACTCAGCAGCCTGCACAAAACCACAGACCCACTATGCCAGAATTGCTCACAGTGTTTATCCTAATGAAAAACCTTAATTCAATTCAGCAAGCAATTCTGAATTACCACATTTTTAGCGGAAAACTCTGGGTTATGATTATTTTCACAGTAAGCAACAGAAGTCACTGAATTTCAGTGCCAGCATTCTCTGTGGTCAGAAACTTGAAGTCAACATTGACCAAACACGGAGAATACGATTTGTTTCTCTGATGGACCCAGGAGAAGCTAACCCAGAATATTTAAACACGTGTAGTTTTACCCCTGCTATGCATTTTGGTAGTTGCTTTTTAGATGAAAGAGTTAATTACAGTAACTTCAGGCTTACTTCAGGTGTGAAATTCCAGTGTGGAAGGTGATGATTTGACAGACTGGTTGAGCTGCTTTGTAGAAGCAATGGTTAGGGTGTTTGTAGCACAGGTGCATCAGGACCTGCAGGTGTGCAGCTTTGCAGGGGTCAAAGCAAGAAGGCCTTTGTGTTTCTCAGACTTCAAGACAAGTTGTCCATGTACTTGGCTTTACCCTCCTCCCCAGGTGAGAGGAAAAAACCCTACCCCTATGTGGAAAATGCACTCAAGTATTAAAAACTTATAAGCCTTTGCCCAGAGAAATAGATACAGTGATGTTGGAGAAATTTCAACATTCCTCTAGAAAATGGAGTATATTATTCATAATGCAGTTCACACAGTTGTCATAACCCTCAAGGATGCCTATTCTACTGTGCTTTTTGTCAAGAAGGATCTTCACACTCCATGGCTTCAAACAACTGCATTTTCTCACTTCCTATCCTTGGCCTGAGAGGCCCTAGGTGGCCTGATCCTTGGCTGTCTTTCCAGCTGTCTCTGACACTGCCAGAAGCCACAGTGGTTTCTTTACGATTTCTGGAACAAGCCTAGCACATTCCTGCACGGTGCTTTCTGCCTTTGCTGTTTTCTCTGCTTGGAACACACTTCCAGGGACACCCACCGCGCTACTCCTTTCCTGACTGATAGGCAGAGCGGCTCCTCCATCCCTCCTTTCTTCTCTGCCTTGGAGAATCTGAAAGTAAGATAGAGGAGCCTGGGGTCCTGAGTCACTTTGTAAGAGAAAAATCTTTTGCTGGGCTAAGGCACTGTTACAGCAGGGTGTTTTTGTTGTTGAGGCAGCTGGCGTTAATTATCCCAATAGGATCTCCACCTCCCACACCTCTGTCCCTCATCTCACTTTTCTTTGTGACACTTACTACCTAACATAAACATCCATCTATACATTCATCAGGTCTGCCTCCGTTAGAATGGACCCTCCTCAGGGCCCTTCGTCCTGAAGATACAGCATCGAACAAAACAGACATGCAGACAAGCATAAGCAGTCGTCCAGTGAATGAATGACAGCATTCCGAGGGTTTCCTCCCTAGATGATGTCGGCTCTCCTTAGTAGCTTTTCCAGTGTCTGGGACTGTTGCCCTGGTCCCTCTCACTGCCTGCTGTAAGACACTGCGCGCTTCTGAGGACGACTCAATAACCCTCCCTTCAGTCAGCAACCTGAAAGCTAAGTCAACCACCAGGACCCCACTCCCGAGTTCCAGAGAGTGTTGGAAATTACATCATGGCTACGTGGGTCACTATTTGTTTTCAAATAACACTCTATAACCCTCTGAATCTGTGGGATCCACATCCTGCATTCCAGCAACCAGGGATGGAAAATATTGCCAGAGAAAAATTGCACCTGTACTAAACCTCTGCAGACCTTCTTCTAGGCAATGTGCCCTACCCAATGTGGTATAACACCTTTTGGGATGGGCTTTTGCCACCATGATAAACTCCTCACTTGAGATGCCTACACCCTATATCAGAGTGCATGGGTTCGAGTCCTGGTTCTGCTCCTGATTCCAGGTTCCCACTAATGCACACCCTAGGAGGCGGCACGGTCAAGTAGTTGGGTCACCACTATGCGTGTAGGAAACCTGGATTGAGTTCCTGGCTCCTGGCTTGGGAACTGGCCCAGCTCTGACTATAACAGGCATTTGGGGAGGGAAGCAGTAGTAGGGAGGTCTTTCTCTCTCTCTCTCTCTCTGCCTTTATATAAGCTTTTTTTATACATATAAATGCCTCATTTGGCACCTTTTTTTTTTTTTAATTTTTATTTGACAGATAGAGTTTGACAGTAGAGATAGAGAGAGACAGACAGAAAGGTCTTCCTTCCGTTGGTTTACCTCCCAAATGGCCGCCACGGCCGGCACTGCGCCGATCTGAAGCCAGGAGCCAAGTGCTTCTTCCTGGTCTCCCATGGGGTGCAGGTGCCCAAGCACCTGGGCCATCCTCCACTGCACTCCCTGGCCACAGCAGAGAGCTGGACTGGAAGAGGGGCAGCTGGGACTAGAACCCGGCACCCATATGGGATGCCAGCACCACAGGCGGAGGATTACCCAAGTGAGCTACGGCGCCGGCCCTTTATATAAGCTTTTAAATCTTAATTTTTAAAAAGTTTTTTTAAAGATTTATTTATTTATTGAAAGAGTTACAGAGTCAGGGGCAGAGAGAAAGAGAAGTCTTCCATCTGCTTGTTCAATCCCCAAAAGGCCACAATGGCCAGAGTTTGGCCAATCCAAAGCCAGGAGCTTCTTCCAGGTCTCCCACATGGGTGCAGGGGCCCAAGGACTGCTTTTCCAGGCCATAGCAGAGAGCTGGATCAGAAGTGGAGCAGCCAGGACTCGAACCAGTGACCATATGGGATGCTGGCACTGCAGGTGGTGGCTTTACTCGCTACATCACAGCACCAGCCCCTAAAAAAAGTTTTATGGGAGCTGGTATTGGTGGCGCAGCAAGTTAAGCCACAGCCTGCAAAGCTGGCATCCCCTATGAGCATTGGTTGGAGTCCCATTTGCTCTACTTCTGATCCAGCTCTCTGCTAATGCACCTGGGAAAGACGCAAAAGATGGTTCCAGTGTTTGGGCCCTTGCCACTCACATGGGAGACCCAGATGGAGTTCCAAGCTCCTGCTTTTCACCTGGCCCAGGCCTAACCATTGCAGCCATTTGGGGAGTGAACTAGTAGATGGTAGGTCTCTCTGTCTCTCCTGTCTCTGTATCTCTGCCTTTCAAATAAAATAAATCTTAAAAAAATTTAACTCCTTACATAGCATTATATTAAGTAAAATGAGTAATCTAGAGATGATTTAAAGTATATGGAAATATGTGTATAGGTTATAGGCAAGTTCTGTACCATCTTTATAATAAGGAATTTGAGTGTGGACTGGAGCACTAATCCCCCATGGATACTGAGGAACA